GGGCTGGTCCCCGCGGGGTGCTGGCCGGGCGGGGGGATCCTGCGCTGCCCGCGTTCCGACTCCAAGCGGAGAAGGCGCTCGGAGAGGATCGCGCCCTCGGAGGGATGCCGAAGCGCCCCGAGGCCATTCCTTTGTCACACCCGAGGGGACCCTGCGATGTCTCGCCTTCGTGTTTACCGGAAACCCGCTCATTTGACAGAAGGGGAAACTGAGGCCGAGAGAGAAGGAAAGACTTCCCCAGGCCACCCAACGAGCTGGAACCAGAACTCCGCGCCGCTTGCTCTAAGGTGTTTCTTAAAACCTCAAATCTGGAGAGTTTGTCTGGTTTTTAATGCGCCTCTAACACAATAGACCCACTTAGTATTCTCCTCACAGCGAGCAAACCCTGAGGAAAATTCCAAGAATTCTGCCGGGTTTGGGGTGGAGAGGGGCTGGTGGGAATGTGAGTCTTGCAGCCCTGGGGGTCAAGATGGGGAGTTTCACTCCCTAAAAACCGTTCCTCCTGTGCAGGGCCCCTGTGAGTGAGCACGTGGTTTTGAAAGATTTATCTGTAGATTCTGTCAAGGGACGATTCACCCCCATTAGGTAAGTGAGGGCAGCCCTGCCAAAAATAACGGGCCAAGATCAGACGTATATTTTAAAAATCCTTTTCTAGTACATTTGGCCTCTTACACTTGGAAAAAAAATTTCACCCATCCCACTCGAAGAGAGACCCTGAGGTTTGAAGCCATTGTGGCCCTTGGGCACAGCTGTTTCTGAGTCTGAGAGGGAAGTGGAAGAGGGAGCTGAAACAGTCAACCAAACGGCCCCCCTCTCAACAAAACTACACGACTAGGGATGCTGGCCAATTACATTCTGGAAGCCTTCATCCATTGTTTCTAACAATAAGTAAAACCAGGTTGAGGATGATGTAAAAATAGTCCAAATAAAGGTCCTGAACCTCCCTGGCCTCTTTCCAGGTGGGCGAGTCATTACTTGGACTTGGCCATGGTTTTTCTGTCTGAACAGTGGGGTCAGTGGTACCTGCCTGGCAGGGGTGCTGTGATAAATACACTAAGCCCAGTGTCCGTCCATCTGTCCACAGAGGTGCTCACGTGATGTAGTTACTATCAACCCAGACCCAGCTGACTGTCTGGAATGGTTCTTGGTTTCTACAGAAATACTTAATTTCCTTGAACGGATAAGACTCCCTTTTTGTTTAGATTTGTGTTACTTTTCTGCTGAGAAGCGTTGCTACCAGAGAGGACAATGTGATCTTCGGTGCTTTTATTAAAAATTGCTTTTCTTTTAAGCCTTGCATGTCAGGAACAGAATCTACTGTCTGCCGCGGCGGAACTTAGTTTGAGCACTGTGGCTGGAGAACAGCCCGGGGACGTGAGGTAATTCCAAGGGCTGAGAGAGGCCCTGTCTTCAAGGGGTGCGTTTTGAGCCAGGCCACTGTCTATGACAGCTGGTGACACTCTCTAAGGGTCTGGCCAGAGGTGGAGCCTTCCTGGCTTTACCTTCGCAGCAGAGCTGGCAGGCAGCAGCAAAGGGAGAAGACGCAGATCTGCTCGGGGAGCCAAGCAGTTTGCTGCGAAGTTTCTGCAACGGTCGCCTGGTGTCCTGGCAACGTGCTTTCTGCCTACTTTTTCAGCACATGCCACAGACTGACACCTTGCCCTCATTCAGGGGGATGTTATATAGTTCTTGTGTTTTCTAGATGGGTTGCTGTCTTTTCGGACAATTGTGATTTGGGAAAAGAAGATAAAAATTAAGTTACTTTTCGTCTTGGTTACTGCAGTGTTACCAGCAACAGGAACTGTACGTAGCATGGCATGGAGGCTACATTTGTGGATTGAACAAATTTGCTTATTTGTTAATAGCTCTGACAAGCCACCATTTATATAGTACCTTCCAGGTGCCAGGTGTTTTACACACATCATCTTTGCTCTTCCCAAAGATCTCATGGATGTGATACTGACTTTCCAATGAGAAAACTGAGGCTCAGAGAGGGTGAGTAACCTACCTACGGTCACACAGCAGTGAGTAGCACAGCCAGAATGTCAGTCTAGTCTTCACTGACTCAAAAGTTTGTGCTTTTTAGAGAACTCGTGGCATCTCACCTCATGGAGGCTGGGGTCCGGAGTGCATCAGTTAAAAGAGTATGTGGTGAGGTTCTATTCTATTTTGTGAAAAACTTTCAGTTGAGTTTCTTTTCAAAGATCTTGTATTATAAACAGCAGCATTATACAAATGTTGGAAAACAGGAGGAAACAATGATAATCCCAGTTTCCTGATATCTTTACTTTTCCGCATGTGCATTATTATTCTTTTCTGCATTCTTCATATTCTCTAAAATGGGCAACTATTACCTTTGGGGGGGAAAAAAAAGAATAACATTAAAGTCCTACCACTTTTTGCAACCGTTTCTGCTTTGCGTTCTTTTTCTCAGCCCAGCAGGGCAGTGGAGGGCTGGTGGGGTGGCGGGGGGAACGGGGTGCTCAACGTGCAGTCGCGGATGGAGCAAGGCGGCCTGCTGGTTAAGAACTCTTCCTGAGCTGCGGGCAGAGACCTGCTCATCAGCTGCGGCTTCTGTCCCCTCTCTTATTCATCTCCTGGCCCACTCCGTTCCAGGCTTACTGGCTTCCTTGCTGTTCCTGGAACACACTGAGCAAACTGCAGACTCAAAGATGTTGCTCATGTTATTTCCTCCTCCCGGGACACTGTTCTTTCAGATCTCTGCTGAGATGTCAGGTCCACTCCTGTAAAACAGCACCCATTCCCACCACCCCCATCACCCTCCATCCTCACGTGCATTGTTCCCTGTCTTCCTGGTCCTTATCATCAGCTGACACGCTCTATGTTTCTCTTCTTTGTTTAATGTCTCTCCCTTTATTGGAATGTCTGCTTCCCCAAAGAGCGCTTTATCTGTTTTGTTCCATGGAGTAGTACATGGCACATAGTAGGGGTTCAATAAATAGCAGATGAATGAGTGAGGGAATTCAATAGACTGGGCCGACCCACCAGGCAGGATGTGGCAGCAGTTTAGGGAGTTGAGAGAGAGCCACATCAGGCCCATAGCAACAAGACTCATGGAGTCCCTACCAGCCTGTGGGCAGCCAGGAGCTGCTCCCCTAACCCCATTCTGCCCTGAGCTGGCTGAGGAGGCCCCCTGGGGAACCGCCTGGCTGGGCAGAGTTTGGAGTGGAAGGCAGCCTGAGGATCGTGAGCCAATGCAAGTGAAATTACTGTGAAGAATGTCCCAGATGGGCCCAGACTTTCCCCCTATCAGACTTAAGGAAGAAAGGCAGATGAGACTCCTTCCATCTCCCCAAATTCCGTAATTTTTATAAAATGAATGGAAGACTTTGATAAATCTCTGTTTTGTCTGTAAAATACAGACAGCAAGTTTTTGTACATGGACTGTATTGTTCTAAACCAACCATCGAAGACTCCCAAGAGAATGACCAGTAATGATGCGCAGTAGTTTCATCCTCGTCATGGCCTGTGCCCCTCACTGGGATTAGCTAATTTTCCCTCATGTCGCCGGTTGAAGTCCAACTTCACAAAAACCTCTCTCTGGGTTATTTTGAATTCCTTTCATCCACTGGCCTCAGAGTGTTGTAGGCACAGTGTTCGTGAGTTCTCTCCTACCATGCAGGTGGAATGAAGTTGTTATTACCACTCGTTGTAGACTGAGAAATAAGCAAGAGCCACAAAAGGATCATAAAAATAGGACAGAGAAAAGAAGGGCTTAGCAACCAGTGGTTCGACTATATCAGAGTCCCTGACGAAGGCTGTGTTTGTTATGTTGGCGTGTGGTGTTGGTGGGGGAGAGAACTCGAAAATGGAAGAAGGATGCTTTTCATGCCTGGGATGGGACATTCCTCAGAGGGGACACTCCAGCACGGGTCGCAGGGGCAGCTGAAGAGCTGGGCTTCCTTAGTGTCCCCTGGGGGTGGGGGGGTTCTGGAAGCCCCCCGCCCCCATGTTCTGCTGATTAGATTTTGATGATCCTGTGCCCTCTACTTCCACGTAGCTTTGTGACCTCCCAGAGTGTCTCAGCCAGGTCTTCAGGGGACGGAAATTTATCCTTCCTGACCACTGTGGCCAGAAGGGAGATCTGTCTCCGCATAATTCATTTGGCAATTGATCACAGCCGCCTTGGGACAAGGCTGCTGTTGCCAGCTCAAGCTGTTATTCGGACTCAATTCTGTCCGGGGCATCCCTTGTTGGCTCGTGGATACCGGTGTGCATAGTGGGCGGGGCTACTGCTGGTATTTCTTTTCTGTCCAGCGACCCGAGCATCACGCTGGGCATCCGGTAAGATTTTAGCCAAGACTTTTAGAGGAAATAATTAGCCTCTGCTGTTATGGGAAAATGGAGAATGTCTGAGGGAGAACTGGGAGGAGGAAAAGGCTGTCCTTGTGGCATGTGCGTGAAAGAATGAGCACCTGCTGAGCGAGTACCTCTTCTGGGCTTGGCCTGGAGTTGGCACCTTCACCAGATGATAATTGTCCCTTAACGGACACTAACTGTGCTCCAGACGCTGTCAAGCACTTGAAATGCATCCTGATTACAGTCCCCTAAGGAAGAGATTACTATGGCCATTTTAAAGATGAGGCAAACTGAAGCTCAGGTTAAGTCATTTGTACAAAGTCAAGCAGGAGTGGAACCAAGATTCGAACCTGTCTGACAACCTCATGCTTCATTATGAGCTCTGCTAAGTGGCCTCTACCATCACCAACAACCTAGTGAATGGAGATTATTGTCCTGCTTAGCTGATGAGGAAGCAGGTTCAGGATGGCTGGGCCACGGGTACGGGCAGGGTCACCTGTCTTTTCAGCCTTCCAAGTACATCTACCCTGCACTCCGTCCCAATTCATAATTCCCACCAACACTGAAATTCTGGAAGATATTTTCCCGGTCCGGTGCATCCTGCCTGATAAAGCCCTACATTGTGGTTTCCTAAGTCCTCGGCTCTGCCTCTAGGATTACCAGGGCACCTGGTACAGATTAGGTGCTCAGTAAGTACTGATCGGGAACCTAGGGTTCGGCAGGAACTGCTCTGAGGGGCACACAGCCAGCCTGGAGCTCCTGAGATACCCAGGAGTCCTCAGGCTTGCCATCAATGGATTTTAAAAGAATGTATTTACCAATTACTTGGAGAGGTATTTAAGAGAAAGGTAAATAAGATCAGGGATATTGACTATGCCACACTGATGGGGTGGCAGAGTGGTTTCTATGAAACGACTGCCATTAAACACTGATTTTCAGAGTTAGTATCTGTCAGATGAGCCTAACTGAAACTATGTTTTAAAAACATTTTTTTGGGGGGGGTAATATGGTAATATGCATTTTTATAACATGGGTGCTACTTAAAGTAAGTTTTTGGGTTTTTTTTGGAAAGACAATCCTTAAAGCAAGTGATATTTTAGCTTCTCACATCCATCTTATAAAAAATTAAAATGTCATTTAGCATTTCTAATTGTCAGTTCCGAGGATTTCAATATAGCAAACCTGAGAGACAGAGCTGGGTCATCAGAGCCAAGGTGACTGAATATGTCCCATCAGCTGCTAACAAGCATCATAAAATTTACTTCATGCTGCTTCTAAACAGCACCAGTATTCCCTTCAAAAGAAATCATTGGCATTCCATTTTCAGAGGAAGGGAGCGGATGGGGGGAGCAAGAGCCCATTTAGAGAGAGCCAGGATCATTGGAACACATTTATCAAAGCTTTTTGTGCCTTCTAACTGCACCCCTTCCTAGCCCACATGTGCTTGGGGACATCTGCTGTTTGCCTGGGCATGCTCAGGTATGCAGGTATCCTGCCTGTCATCTCCTTCATGTTGAGGTGGCCTCTTGGTCTATCCATTCTCTCTTTTTCTACTAAAGTCTCTCTCTATGGGACTTAGAGAGAGTTGTGGCTGTAAGCATGGCCTTTGGAGCCAGGCAGACCTGGCTTAGATGCGTGACTTGACTTCGCTGTGTCTCAGTTTTCTTGTCTGTAAAATGGGCTGAATAGCTGCTCTCTCGTGAGGGTCAGATGAGATCGCTGTTGTAGAACAATCAATTCGGGGCCTTCGGTGTGTGCTAGCACTTTTAGTTCCAGAAACATGGGCACGTGGCTCTTCTGTCCTTATACTGCTATGGATATTGGTGTATATGTGTCTTCAGGAACTGGCCATTGTACATGGGAAACAGAGAGAGACAGCTCCTGGCTTGAAAGAAGCTAAACTCCTGTGTGCATGGAGCCATCCCTAGCAATGAAACAAACATGAAATCCAGTGGTCGTGAGAGTTTGAATGGATCCCAGAGGCCACCCAGAGTCCAGACTCCTCATTTTATACATAGGAAATCCGAGGCCCAGATACGGGTGTTGGTATTGTCAAAGACGACAATCTCGTTGGCAGCAAAACCAGGCTGGAAGCCAAGCCCCTTGGCCAACTGGGCAGTAGACATGGCACCTCTTTACAGTCCTTTGCAGTGCTTCTTCACAGCTGCACTTTTAAAATGAGGCTCCGTGGCAAAGTGAGAGCAAAGAGCCTTTCTAATTTACTTAGAGAAGAGGAGGAAATGATGGGCTTTATAATTGCCGGAATCACATTTCTAATCTTATTTACAGGGTGAAGGATTGATTGCATGGGCTGAGAGTGTCGGCATACTCAGCAAGCTTCCGTTCTAATGCAATTAGGCCTTGCTCATTCCAGCTCCGCTGAGGACTTGGGTCAGGCCCCAGGAGACCTAGGTGTGAGGCAGAAGCCCAGGCTGGACCAACCCAAGCCTCAAGTTCTGAAGAAGTCCATGTGAAAGGCAAGAACTTGGAGCCCACAGTCCAGGCAAGGCCATCAGGGCCATTGAGTCATGCTTGCTGGTACCTGAGCTGCTGGCTAGACTCCTGGTATCAGAATCCCCACGTGACAGCCCGCTTGAAGCTGTGTACCAGGGCCAGCCGAGCCTTGTCCTCACCACGCAGGCTGATTCCCTTCATGGCAGTCACTATCTTGATTGTGCTTGGGTTTGCTCTGCCCTTTGCGCCTTGGAGATGCGGACATGAACCCCTTCATGGAAGAGCCTAGGGCTGCCTTAGAGCTGGGCCTCTGGTCTCAGCCCCATCCACCCGAGCCTACCATGGCTCACCCTCTGGCTGGCTATTGACTGAGTGATGGAGCACACAGGTAGAGGGGTCAGACTTTTCCTGAAGCCAAACCTTTGTGGAAATCTAATGAACAAAGACCAGAGATCTCCTCAGCTGCCTCATTGCAACTCACTTTTGAGTGACAGTAATAGAAAGAAAACACTATTGGCCTCCTGTAGGCAAACGAAGGCTCACAATGTTCCATACTTCATTGAAGGCCCAACCATCTCACTGTCACAGAGACCGATACCTGCAGTCACCCACGGTCTCGGGAGTGGGCCTTTCCCA